ACTTGGGAGACGCTCCTCTGAAAAGCAATTGAAGTACATGCCTCTATGACACAGACCTATGTGTATAAGAAATGGGGGAATTTTTCTGGTTGCCCTCTATAGACTGACAGGGATGTACTAACATCATTTAAGGCTTGCTTTAGACCTTGTTTTGCAAGAAACAAGTTAGTGAGCTGGTACATAGAAGTAACTTGGCATTCTTCTGACATGTCAGTAGCACAAACACAGTCTGAGAAAAACTGAAATATACTGCTGCTTGAAACTTTAAGGTTTTTCACGTGGAAGTACACCATCTCACATACTGAAACGGCCTGAATGCCTTTGAAACTCAGCCATCAAAATACACAACAGTACACAGCTATGTTCCAGAGCAAGTGCATAGCTACCAAGTACTCCACCTTTCCAGAGGAGATAATGTTTTCTGTCTCAATGGAGTAAGATCTATCAGGTGCAGCATTACTTCTGCTTATCTCAGTGAGAAGATTTGCATTTTGCCTTCATTGCCTTGCTTTGCAAGCACTGGTTTCAATTTAAGTTTCTTCCCTACTGTGAAGTTGGTTCTAGAATATCCTCCTCCCTCTCCCACACCCATGGCATCCTCCATTCACTTACTCATTTCTTATGGCTTCCTATAGATGACAGCAAGTTAACTTCCTAATTAAGTTAAAAGTTTAACATCAACTCACATGTCTAAGAGTCATTTATCTTCATACAAAAGATTATTTATTCCAGCTCTCCCAGTGTTTGAGCAAAATACTTCATCTGATCTCTCCATCCTCTTGGGGACTAGTATATACTTCTAAGAAGTTAGAGTTCAGATCTTTTCAAGGAGACAGACAAGAGTTTAGAAACAAATTTGCATGCTACAAGTTTTATCATTCAACTCTTGAAAGCTTGTGTAGAGCATGTTTAGAGTACTGAAGTACAATAATTCCTCTTCTATTTGGCCTATTTCATGGCCATGTTCTTCCAGTTAAAGCATTACTTCAGTTTCAATAAACACTTTTATAAAGATATTGTAATAAAGCCCTGAAAAAGGGTACTATTACACCAAAGTTAATGCAGAATTATTCAAAGCTTTAAGACAAATTTCTCTACCCATTGTTGTTAGTGACACTCTTGAGAAGAAACCAAGTTCTAGTGGTGATGTATGACTTTTACCACCCCTGACCTCCAGCAAGTTGCACATTCGTACAGACTGACATGAGTGACAGTGATAGTCAATGTGATCATAAAGAAGTGGTAGCTAACACTACTCAGTTTCTGGTCTTATTAGACCAGATCAAAAGCTTTTTATGATATAGAAAACCCTTAAATTGTTCTTTCAATTATATTTGACCGAGTTTTACCAATATGGGATATTTACCTCCTACAGTACATTGTGGTAAGTACAGTATACTCACTAAAAGAGCAGGCTTGTCAAGTAGGAATCTCTAGTGTATTGAAACGGACTTTTAAAAGTACTTCCTTCTGTTGTGTATCTCCTTACCACAATGACTCATTCCTATCTCCTATTTATTTCACCAGTTATTTATGTCCTTTGATCAAGGGGGCTAACCTGGTTCTAACACTTTCAGAATTTATCCAGGAAGAGTTATTTATCATAACTCCACATGTCAAGATAAAAAACAGGAGTAATGCCTAAGGGCAGCTAAGGTTTAGAAGTTTTGTTCTTGTATGAACATGCAGGTAAGCTGTTCAACTTCTTTCAGAATACTTCATGCTGCAACTGAGATAATTTGACAGTGACTGATCAGTATTACTCCCAAACTTTTTCATCTCTATTATTCAAGAGGCTACAGTCTGTGTCTAAAAGCAAAAATGCCCGAGTATTTCTGGAATACACAAGTCTAGGCACAACAGTACCCCTCACATCTCCTCCCCTTTGATTCTTGCTGCAGGAATTTGCATTACTTTGTACCTTATAACAAGAAGGCTACTTTCACCAAGAAAAAAAGCATAGGCAGTGTAACATTGTCATGCTCTATGTGATAGAATTACCTAATCACTTAAAAAACTCAGCTAGAACAAGAAATATAAGTCACTCAGGAACATACTGCATTGCAATACGCCACACAACATTCATCTTTTTTCACACCAGAAGCCAGCACAGTATCTGCCTATAATCTTTAGCTGGTGACTGAACTACATGGTTAGTGCTTATCATTGATTTAGGTACAGAACCTTAGACTGCAGCACCTAGCTTTCTGAGGAAAGCTTTTTATGATGAACTTTTAAGTACAAGCTTTGATCTGGTGAAAAATAACATGCCTTACTATGCTTAAGGGTTAGACTTCAAACCAGAAGCTTCTTTAAATGCAAGGAAATCAATTCAGAATGCCAGCACCACATTGCTTGCAGGGAAGTCACATGTAACATTACTTACCATAAGATTTAGATCTCTTCAAGAGATCTAAGCTGTTTGCACACACCAGCAGACAAAATTATCTACATGAGCTGTTGAAAGCCAGAAGACAGCTGGGCTGATGAGTTAAAAGGAAATGACTATCACATGCTCAGATACTTTGTTACACACTTTATTAGAGTGCTTTAGGGAATATGTGCTATGACTGTATAGAAACCAACCTCAACCTGGTTCTCTAACTAATAATTTCTATAATAAACCTTTTAACATCCCGAGGCATTTAGAAATATTAATGAGTATCGATGTAGACAGCTGTAGAACACATTCCCAGGTTGAGGCCTTTAGCAGTTTTAAGACCATGAAACAACTCTTACAGATACTAAAATCCCTTTTATTTTAATGATTAACGTTTAACAGAGATGTCAAGTTCTATAGGAGTCTGAACTGTTCCTCTCCCACTGGCTAAGCACAGCCCAAACAAATATCACTAAGACTAAAACTACTTCTTTTCTTGGTCTTGTTTTTCAGTTGGGGAAGGACTCCTACCCCCTTGGAAACAGAATAGCCTAAACTACCAGATTAGACATAAGAGTTTGGAATGCAAATTGCAAAACAGTTGTATTCTCCTTTTTCATTTTTGCTAGGGAAAGGCCAATCAGGAGTTTCATACAAAACTATGCATCACATTGTAAAATAGGGAAAATATTACCTATTTAGGTTAATAGAGCTTAATTTACAATAGGTCTGGAAGTGTTAGAAATAGTATATAGACAATTCAGTGACAGGAAAAAAATATTCTTCAATCTATCAGCAATATTAGCACAAGTCTCCAGAGATATATCAGCAGCTCTTAACTTAGTCTTCACCTAACAGTGTCCAAGATACACCAAGGGCAATAACCAAGAGTGAAAAATACTGTCTTCCAGATCTTGAATTTAATGCATGGGTGTATTATAGGAGTTCCCATAATGTAAACGGGTTCTGTCCAAACTTTGTTACAAGTTACAGCTACATTCCTGCCTAGCCTCTTGATATAGATTGCTTAGGCAAAACACACAGCTTACCCCAGTCTGAGAAACCAAGGGCTGAGGAGAAGTTAAACACAAGCGTGGCAGCCTGCCAAACCCCAGGATCCTGATAGTCCCCCCTCTTTAATCTTTAGAGCCCCAGACTTGCTCATATACATCCCCAGTGTCATAGCAGCTTGCATGGATACTGCCAATCGATTTAAAGGAAGTTAGAACTGATCTGTAAAAGAAATCTGTGAGAAGAGAAAGCTTGCCAACATTTTACTTGCTCTCCAAAACAGCAATTAGAAAATATTTTAGTTTGCCCTACAGGCCAGCAGCAAAAGATCTATGGCATGTTTCAGCATATGGCAGTAAGAAGTAGGCTTTTTATTTTGAGGAATTATATTTGAAGTGTTTTAAGATAATCTTTTGAGGAGAAAGGCCAGAGAGTGACTTACAGCTGGTCTGTCACAGGGTTACAGCAGCCGCATGTTATGCTTCCTCTTTTCTGAGCTTCCACACAGGAAAGCATAGAGTTCATGGAAACAGTAACTACCAGTTGCTATCCTATTATCTTCCAGTAGTGTAAGTTTAAACCCTGGCATTTGAAATAAAGTCTACTCTTTCATATCCACAGAGATATTCTGAATGCAGTGATGAGAGATGACTAGAGCTGCAGGTTAATACCCAGACTGAACACAACACCAGAAATACAATACCAACTTGAGATGACTAAGGAGTTAAGGACACAGACTTCTTATAAGAACACAGCAAAACAGAGTTCAATTCTTATTTAACACCTCAGCATACTCAGAGTTAACCATGATAGGTATACAGCTGGAGTCTTTAAGACAGGAGGTGTTAAAGAACAGTTTTGAAATAGACATAGGGCAGGAAGGCCATGCAGTTTGGGCAAATGAGCAGGGCTTTGGTGTGCTCAAAGCATCGTTTTGATACACAAACCCATGATTTGAAGGTAGAACTAAGCCTAACAGAAGTCCCATTCCCTCACTCCACATTGCAGGAAAAGTTACTTTAAAATTAAGTAGATGACTCCAAACTTACTGAGTTTAAGCATACTCCCTTTGAGGATCATTTTAGCTATTTGAGTTACCCTAAACCTGTAAAGTGTGCTTAACTAAACAACCTACTTGGAAAAAATATATATTTCCTCTAGAGGTGTTATGGAGCTGTAACCATTAATGACTTTAAGCAGTAGCCATAAACAAGGCCAAAAGCTCCCAGGCAAGCAGGTGAGGAGGAGCAGAACAAGCAGGAACTCCCTGGGAACCCTGGAGCCAGCAAGCAGAACAGAGCAGCCTTTTGAGGAATACTGCTAAACTCTGGGCCAAGTGTAGCCCCACACACAGCCTGGAAGAAGTCAAAAAACTACTTTGCCCATACATCAAGACATCCCTCTCCTTATGCCTCAAATGCAGACAAGAAGGGTTGTATGTAATAAGGGAAGGAAGAGAGGAGGAAAAGAAAAAAAAGAAAGGCTTCACAGACAAACTACACTTTCCTCCGCAGAGGCTGGGCCCCGGGACCCCACAACCAGCCATGTTCACAGCCCTCTGCCCTCTCGGGGCTTTCCCTGCAGAGAGACACTCACCCCAAGCCCTTACCTGCTATATCCCAGAGCTGCAGCCGGACCAGGTTCTTGCTGTCCCAGTTGATGACTTTAAGTGCAAAATCCACCCCGATGGTGGCCCGGTAGTGCTGTGAGAAAAGCTGGTGCACGTATCTCTTGATGATACTAGTTTTACCCACACCCAGTTCCCCGATCACCAGCACCTTGAAGAGATGCTCCCGGCACTCCGGTACCCCGGAGCCCGCTCCTTCCCCCCCGGCCATCCTCGACCCTCCCACCGAGCCCGGCGGGGAGACCGGGCTGCCGGAG